TATATATATATATATATATATATATATGAAAGAATCACTATTTGACAGAGGCTCAAATACCGATTCCTTATGCTCTAGGCCCTATGGTGAGAAGCCCGCACCATGTGCTATCAGGCCAACACACACACACACACACACACACACACACACACACACACACATATATATCGATCATCTCCTACTTGCTCTCGCTCTTGCAGCCTCCCTGTTGTTGTTGCATTCCTCCATACACCTCTCCGGCTTTCCACCGGCCCCCCTGCACTCCCATCCTTCTCAAGATCCTACAACCAGCCTATTCCCCCTTCTCTAGTTGTCAGTAAGCACCCAATCTCCTCGCTTCCCCACTGATAGCCTTACCCCAGCCCTTGCATTCACGGCAAACATTCCCCAATCTTATCAGATATTATCATCAGCCCCCTCCAACACTCCCAAACCCACACCTCCTTAAAGCCCTCCTCGTCCCTGTTGCAACTCCAAACCACCAGCCCACCTTCCTCTTTACTACTACCTAGCAGCCAACCTTCCTCTCTCGCCCGGTCCAACCCCTCCAACCACAGCACCACCACCCCATCTATGCCCTTGTTTTGTGTCATATCGTTGTTTTTCTATTTTCAAGTGTTTTGTTTGTAAACCCTTTTACTTTCAACAATAAAATTATTATTTTGTTGTGATTAATACCAAAGTTAATCCAAAAATGACGGAAACTACTTTTATTGCTTGCCTGAACTAGCAATCTTTGAGTTTGAGGTTAAATTCACATTCTTTTCCTGGAAGAAGAGAAAAAATAAGTAAAGGGCTTTGTATCTAGACATGATATGAGTAGATATGTAGATTTTCAAAGGTTTCACTTAGAAAGGAGATGAATAAGATGAAATCCATACAATTGAGATTAAGATAAGGGACACTAAAGTCGATTCTCTGAGCTTCATTAATGAGAAACACAAGAAATAAATTGATAAAAAAAAATGATGCATAAAACCTACAGAGCTGGTGAGTTAAGAGTCAACATGATATGTAATTCAATGAGAAGGTTGAGAAAATTAATTATTGAATATAAGAAGAGGGTTGGTATGTAAACTATTCATTTTTATGGTGTCTTTTGACAAACTTTTAAATGTACATCAAAATGTTTAGCAAAGAGACTAGGGCTCTATTCACAAATTAGGCTAACAAAAAGAGCCAAGCATCATCATCCATGCAATCTAAACCAACACAACATTATTATAACTTTTGAGAGCGAGAATAATAATACATAGTTCGAAATTTTTTAAATATAATTAAGAACAAAAAAATAGTTACACGTATTATTTATCATACTAAAAAATAGCTACTACAGAGCAATTCAATCACCCAACAAAAACATATTTATTGTATCATCCATCTTGTCAAAAAAATTCCATAACTGCTTTAAAATCAACAGATTACTGAAATTAACCAATTTGATGCAAAATTAAGCCCAAATAATATCTGCAAAGTGATTCTAGAGTTCCACAAAAAGCCTGAAATATGCTATATCTCAAAAGGGCGTATAAAAAAAAATTTCAAAAAGACCATATTTTCTTCCAGTCAATCATATCAATTACAAAATAAGGAATTACAAAGAAGTAAATTATAAAACAAAAGTTCTAAATGGTTCCTTCCTCAATCCAAGAAATGTCTCCCTCATATCTTAAAATAAACTTAAAAGCCACCCTCCAATATACGAAGCACGAGCATGGTACAGCATATGGCGCACTATACTAACCACATTTGGCTGTAATAAGTCTTACATTACAATATATATATATAT